AGCCGGAGTTAAACCACGACACATAATTTCAAATCATAGTTCTTATTTAACATAATTCCCTTATTTTATGTTCAGTTGTATTTTCTGAGAAACCCCAAAATCTGCCTCTAAAATCCCTTCTATTTCTCATGATTTTTGGACACATTAACTAGATACTCTGAAAAAATTACATAAACACTCTGTTTATATAACTTGCTATTGACATAAATTATAAGCAGAGTCCATTACAGGTCCTACCTCCAGACTCCTGCAGAGCGAACAGACCACTGAGAGCGAGGAGGGGCCCCAAAGGTCACTGGGAGGCAGGGGCTTACTCTCTGCCTCCCAAAATGAGGGTCTGAATCATTCCCATCTTCTTTGCAGCAGTGATTGGGAAGCAAGTCAGTTTGGCCTGTTCAAATTCAGCCTAGCTACTGTGTTACTGACAGCATTTACATTTGATTTTCTTTACTCAACAAGTCAGTTACAGATACCACTAATATCCTATCAAGAAGAAACATGTTAAAAGAAAAAAATTAAGACTGCATGGTAATTTCAGTCGCCATACAAACCTATATATTTGATTTCTGTACATGCTAACTGAAGAACAGAACATACTAAATAATAAATGAGCCAAACAGACGCACAAACAGTGGCTTTGAGGGAGCGTATACATGTGCACAATGCCGGGAGCCCCACATCAGTATCATCATATGCAAAAATCTACGCCACTGCCTTTAGATATGAAATACGCATTGAGAGAAACCTGCTAACACAAGCCTCTACCTTTCCATTGACATGATGTAAGAAGTATTTTAAGGATGTACCTCTGTGTAAGGTACAAAGACTTGCTATTTTTGTAGTTTTGATCAGTGCACTGTATCTCTTCTTTCTCCTGAATGTTCTCAGTTAAAAAAAATCTGCTTCAACTGATGAACGCTTACTGGGCAAATAAGAAGTATAATTTATAAGACACATTCCTCATGAAGATTGGTTTTGATTTGCTAAAGTACAGTCTAGCATTTTGGGGACAGTGCCACAGCGTAACAGTTTTATTAGCATTCACTTGAGGTAACTAGCGTAATTTATTAATGGAGGAAAGACAAGATTTGTAATGTTAGAAGTTTCCCTGGAACTAGTGCACTTCAGAAAGAAGAGACAGTAAAAAAGCAGTTTATCACATTATGAAGCAGACTGTTCTACTGTTGGACACTATTACTAAAATGACTCATAAATTACATGGCCGTGGTAAGTTACAGCAGGGAAATGTTAACAGAATTTGTTTAGTGTAATCTTTAATCTCATATCTTGCATTAACTTTACCATTCTTTAGGGATAATCCTCTTATTAATGAATGACAAAGTCACACACAAGCTCAAACTAAAATGAACCTTCAAGATCTCTGTTCTTCAGCACATTAACAATTTTTTGCTAGCCACATCTTTTACAGAAAAATGACTACGAAATATCTTAAAAAGCTTTTGAAAATGTGAATTGGTAGGTCAACAATTTAACTTTTTACACTAAAAGGACACATTCACATTATGGAATACACCATTCCTTACATCTACAAGAGGGATCTGGAGAAAGAATATTGATGGACTGCATATCTGGGAGTAAGAACTAACGCTCATTGGATTGTATTTTGCAAGCTATAGTTTTAGCTGGTGGATGCATTTTAAATGACATTGAAGGCTGCTCAGGTGCGGAATGCTAGAAATAGTCCTGATCATGCTGAAGGTGATGGTACGAGATAATTCCATTGATCATAAGGTTTCACAATTGATGTTGAGGGTACAAAAGCATTTATGCTGCTGCATTTATAACTATTATAAAAAAAACCCCACAACCAAAAAAACAACAAAGCAAATAGAAAACCTACAGTAAAATGTCTCAATTTTGCAAAGTTCTCCAAAGTCAAGAAATGTAAATCTAAACTGTCGTCAAAAGCACATAACATTTCTCAAGAAAACAACTGAAGGCTTTTTAATATGAGGAAAACAATACACGTTAAGTCTACTTGCTAATTGTTTAGGTGATTCCAAGCATCCGAGGTCTCTTGCTGAGGCACAGCCTTGCCAAATGCAATGAGCTGGACCGACAGTTGCCAGACTCACAGAAAACACAATTCCTGGTCAGCATTTCGTGTAATCAACGTCCAAAATCTGATCCAAAATTTTCCTGCCTTCAGCACCTTTAATTATTCTTCTCCCTTCTAGAATGCAGAAAGTCAGGAGAGTATTTATTAAGATACTTACGAAATACTTTCTCATCAGACAACGTTAGTCATGCAGTGAGTTCCTTTTAGTATTTAACATGGAGTCACAAGCCTTTTTGCCTACTGATTCTGCCCATGATTATTTTTATATGTTTGACTAAACATAAAGAAATCAATAAAAACATATTTGTTTTACCAGTGGCATCTCACAGTGGGATAAATAACTCTTTTGTAAGTGAAATCAGGTGACTCAGTCAAATGCAGCAGATAGAAAACAGTGTTCACAAATGCAAAGGAGAACGTGTTTCTGACAATCCCATCCCTTTTGTACCTGACAACTTTGGTCAAAACATCCATTTTATTAATAAATGTTGAGGTAAATTGAGCAATTAATGGTTCTTCCTGCCTGGTTATTGAGATGATTTATTTAGAAAATAAGCCTTGGTTGAAAGACATAAGGTATACGGCAACACTTGAATTTAAATGTCATTGTTCCTCCACCAGCTTAAGTATTTCTTTCACCTAAGAATATAGAAACTACTCCTATTTTTTTTGTCACAGAAAAATTATTCACTGAGAACAGTTAGAAATAAAAACATTACCTTCCTTCTTCCTTTCATTAAATTCCCCGGCAGATTAAGAACTACCATTGACTTTAGCTGTTTTATCCACAAAAAGGCTGAGAAAAATCTAGTAGATTATCAGTATTGAGCTGTTTCAAAGAACTAGAAATACTGTTCTATTATCACAGCAGTAATTTCCAGAGTGATGAGTTCATCACAGGATGAACAGACATTCTGCTGTAAGGTAGGATAAAGCCTGTACCTGAAACTCAAAGCTGGTGAATCCTAATACTGAATTGGTGCCAGGTCATGTTTTGCCAGACAAAGATATTAAAAATGTAATGCCAGTACTAATGAGAGATTTGGCACACAAAACATGAAGAGTGTTGCAGATTGTGCTGACAGTGTGACACTATGTTTTCCTGGATGTAATCTGGGTATCATGAGAGTAAGCTTGGAGCACTAATGAGAAGAATGATATTGAACTGGAAGAGCTGCTAAATATGCAGTAGCCACAGGGTTCCTGGAGTTAACTGGAACTAAAATGAAAACTGTAATAGTGAAAGTAACAGAGGGTAAACTAGGCAGAAATACTGAAGGAAGAGAATCTCAGCAGGCAAACTTGTTTCTGGTACCATGCTTGCCAGGACATAAAGGGTTTTTCTAATCATACTGTTTTTATCCCTGAAGTCCTGTTAAAGAGGAGCATGAAGCTTGAGATTAAAGGGACACATACCATTTTAGGATATAAATGAGTTTCACAAATGGCTAGAGAAAGTAACATATAAAAGTTAAACAAAAACCTCTTTAGGTACAAGAAGTAAAATACATGCTGAAGATACAAAGACCATCCTGTCTCTTCAGGGCTCCTGTTTTTTTGCTGTTGCCGTTGATTTTTATTGTCCTCCTATTTACATCACCTACAGCTAATGATCCTCATATGAAATGGATATAAAATTGCTTGACCATCTCTGCCAGAATTCTTGGCATCTTTGAAGAAGTGCGTTATCAATGAGAAAGAATTGCTGTTACCATCACTGGAACTCTAAATAGAGTGCTCTCTAGTCTGTTATGTCTTTAGCATGCCAATGAACGTCCTTGTACAATTCTCAGTTGCTTCCAGTGTTGCCTCTGGTATCTTGGCTCCTGCTAAACCTCTAACATCTTCAATTACCAGGCTATTAACCACTTATTTTATATATAAAATTCACAACTGTAATTATACTTAATTGTTCCAATTCTACAAAAAGAAAAGATAAACAAGAAAACAGCAGACAAGCAGTTCTTTTTCTCTGAGGGTATGATAACCGAGGGAATTTGGAAACAGTAAATCTGGAGCTCCGTACTATGAGTTTGCCCCAGCTGCTATTTTTTTCCACTGTACTTGAGATTCACACTCTCCACAGGAATGCAAAGAGGAAAGTTTTAAGGAAGAATAGACTTATCCCTTTTCCTTCCCCAGTACACAAAGTTTAATGCTATCAATACCTAGAGATAACGCATAATTTTTTTTTTTTTGTACTAACATATAGCACGGGGAAAAAAAGTAAAGAAAACTTAGCCCATGAAGAAAGAGGTCTACTCCACACAAAGTCCTCCTCTACTCTTTCTCTGAGACAAGGAAACATAGCGAAAAATCTTAGAGTTGTGGGTTTTTTTTTTTTCCTTTCCCTCCAATGCCAAGTATAAAGAGGACAAAAATAAAACAGCATGTTATTCTGAATTCAGAACTATGTCCACTATGTCAAGCAGAAATTACTTCTTACTTTTAGTAACAGGGAATTTATTTTTGGATGAACTTGAAAAACTGACTGCAAATGAAGATTATTATTATGTTTTTCTTTAAAGATTAAAATAATGATATTTGACTAAACTATACACCCATGTTTGCCCATAACAGTGATGTTTTGGAAAATAGCACTGAAAAAAGTAAGTTACCACTCATTGCAACTACTACTGCCTGTTTCTCCCTGTTATACTGTATTTAAACCTGTTTAATTCAGCCTTTAAAATAAGCACACAAAAGAGTAAATCTAACCTCCACTCAGTATAAGGATTAAACTCAGGAAATAATTTAATAAAACTCTACAAGAGAAATGACTTAACTGTTGAGGACAATACAGCACTAATGTGTTTCATAACGAATGTCTTACCAACTGTAAGAGGGTCAGTGCACATGTCACTTCTGTTCTCCTTCCATGCCAGCAGGTACTTGAGGCTGACGGGATCTTCTGCTTCTATATGGCTGTTAAATGCCACCATCAGTTTATGAGCCTTTGCAATGCCACAATAAGTCTTTATTTCATCCACTAAGGGCAAATTATTTAATGTTTTTGCTGCCTCAGAAGCCTGAGTAAAATATTCAAAAGCTGCATTATAGTTCCCCTAGTAAAGGAGAGAAAAAAAAAGAAAAGAATTGTAAAAACTACTTGTAGTCACCTGTATTTTACCTTGACATTAGAACCTGCTCCTCTGGCACCTCAGAGATGTTGCAGCTGTGAGGCCAGTCCACAGAATGACTCATGGCATGGTATTAAGCAAATCACTCTCCCTTGCTGTTTCCTAACCTCTAAAATCCAGAAAACACTGCTTATATCTTTCCCAGGAATGGAATTGGCTTTTGGCTGCCTGTACAGTATTTTGAATATACAAATCTAAGTATACCAATGGTAAGGAGTAATACTGATTCCAGCCAAGCCATTTAGAAATTATTGCTGCTGTTTCATTAAGTTTAACATCTCTCTGGGGGTAAAGGTTCAAATTTAACACTATGATACTAAATTTTAGAAAAGAAATCCTAGAAATGGAAAAAAGAGGATAATGAAATGATGGACCTAAAGCACAGAAAAGAACAGAAATTAAAGCCTACGGATTTATGAGGGAGATGCGATATACTAAACCCCTGGGATATTCCTAATCACAATAACAGAAAGAGTAGCGGAAATATAAGACAAGTGTTGCTAAAACCCCGCAACATTTATCACTTATCCTGCAGAATACAGAAAACCAACATTCATGAATCCAGTAAAAAGGAGTATAAACTACAGCAGGTAATACTTCAGGAGGAATTAAAAACGTATAACAAGAACTATTTTTTATGTGAAATGTTGAAAGAAAACTCTTCAACTTCTTAACCAAAGAGGAATAAAGAGAAAAACTAAAGAAAATCAGCAAACAAGACAAGGAAAAAAAAGGTCTTCCTGGGAGTAAGCCATTATAGAAATGTTCATCCTTTACTTTACTCTGAAGGAATTAGTTCTGGCTGTTGTCAGAGCTAGACAAACTTCTTGTGGCAGTTTCTATATGCCTGTTGGTAACACTAATAATAGCCTGCCCGCTCCCTAGAAGACACCTTCCAGTTCTCCCACTGGTGTGGAATTCTGCTGCCCTGATGGCACAAATTTCCTGACTGCAAACTTTTTCAGAGTTGTCTTATTCTTTCACTCTCAGCTTGGTTTAAAATGAGTGAAATTCCCTTCTGCACAGAGAGCAGGAGGAGAGATACCATTTGATACCTGTTGCACTTGATACCACTTCTGGGGATCAAAATTTGTATGACTGCTAAAATGTGCCTGTAATTTTAAAAAGGGGGAAAAAAAAATCAGGTAGTTTTTAGGCTTTGTTTAATACAAAAGGAGAGCAGAAATAGGCCTATAAGGACACAGCAATGAATAGAGAGTGATAAGCACTAGGACAATAGATAAAAAGCAGAAACATCTACCTACCATACTTGTGAGAACTGTAATAGGTAAGTGATGCAATTAATGAGAGGAATGCAGCAAATCAGACTAAGAAACTTGTGAAAAGTGAAATGAAAAATTAGAGCGTGTCATGCTAACTCCATCAGGGTTTGCATATGAAGTACGCAAACTGCTTAACAAACTGGGGGAAATTAGACCTAACATAACACGAACCCAGGCATTTTAGGAAACTAGAAACACAGGGGTAAAACAATCTTGACTACAAAGCAGGAACAATCTGCAACAAACTACAAACAATCTTGACTACAAAGCAGGAACTGAGTGTACAGCATTAAAGAAAGATATTGATGGTAATGGAATAGTGAGATGACAGAACTGTTAAGATACAGCAACAGTGTTGGACAGAGCAAAGTGAATTTGGTCAAAGTCACTTTGGGAAGAACGATGAAAGTTATATCCCTGGTTTACAAAGGTCCCCAAGGATACAGCTGGATGTAAATAGAGATATCTTTAATTCAATGAGAAGGACAGTACTACTGCAAATTGTATCACTGGGGGAAGTACGGAGTTGAATAAAAATACCCTAATAATGACTTGACTAAGGGAATACCGGCGATGACAGCTGACACCAAGCAGGCAGTGATCCAAGAGAGGAAATATTAAATTAGGCACCGTTTTGGTAAACATTGCTGACCTTGCAGAAAAAAATGGTATAGAAAACTCGTAATTGTGAAACTTTAAGAGATTTTATATGTTGTATATTTAAATTCTATATTTTATGTAAATTAATAAGATTAAGTCACTACATTTCTTTCCTTCTACACCACTACCCCAGTTCAAGGCAGCAAATTCCAAACTGAGAAAGAGAATTAAAAAGAGGTTAATTCTTAAAATATCACTTCTCATAGAACTATTAGCAATGGTGGCAGAAACAGTGAAATAGAAAAGTAGTTAAACAGAATTTAGTCAATTATTTTTCTAGATTTGGAGTAGAATAATTAAGCACAGCATCACATCACCCTACTTTCTTCTAAATTTCAGACCCATTGTGAAGTTATTTCAGCAAGTTCTCAGAGCCTTTAAAACTTAGTTTTCAATGGGAAATTCAGCATTTATGCTAAGAACATTTGTAAACAGAAAGCTCTCAAAGTAATTTAGAGATTACAGAGTAAGAAGTTTTTTTACCGCTTATGAAACAAAAACTGGCCACCAACTTTGGAAGTGGGAATTCTCTGTAAGAGGAATCCAGGAAGAAGAACCATCTCTAGATGTGGTAAGGGACAGAGTAAGCATGGAAACTACTACCCAGAGAGGCAGCCAACAGAACTGCTGCCCTTGTGGGGTCCAGCCCAGAGAACAATATACACATTCCAGCCCAGAGAACAATATACACAGAGAACTGGCACATAGGCCAGAAAGAAGCACCTCAAAAGACCTTAGAAACTGTCATAAGGAGAGTTTCTTAGTCGTCTCCAGCCTAATGTTGTCTATCACTGACTATCTATTGCTTTAAACAAGACAAATCAAAGCTATCAGGCTGGATGGAGTCATGTAGAAGAGAAAGCCCTTCCAATACCAACACAGACCTTTGCCAAAATATTTGCTGCTAGGACCCATTTAACAAATTTGGCTGAGAGAATGTAGAGAAGAAGCGAAGCTAAGATTAAAAACTGCTTCTCAGTATGTAATATAGTATATATTAATTTTTAAAAAGCACAAATTTTAATGTATAGTACAATAAAATTTCGTTTGTGTTACCTGATGACTCTATGGGCATATGCGGCCCCAGTGGTGACTTGGATGAAGATTTTTTACAACACTAAAAGTTTGTCATGAACTGAATTCGGAGTTTTTATTCACACATTGTAGAACAAGACCCTATATGTTCAACTTGGTGTAAAATTTTCTCCATTCCCGAAAGTTTAAGGCACATTTTGTTTAGTCCACAGTATCTTCTCCTTTGGTGACTCTTGTAAGATACAATACCTGGATCAAATTCTTCTGGGTCATCTCATATGCAAAACCAGATTCTGCCCATAAATGAAACCCAAGTGTTTGTCATTATTACTATAACCAGTACTTACTCTTTCATTGTAAATATTCCCAAGTAATACACATGCATCCACCAGGCTATGGCTTAGATGAGCATTCTCAGCAGCCTTCATAAACTCTCCCAAGCAGTTTATAGTTTCAGCCACTTTCCCCTGACTGAAGCAAAGAAAAAGAACAGACACAAAATTAAATACTCAGAGGGCTCCTCCAAATGTTGAAGATCTATCCCCCTGTTCTGAAGTAACTTTACATTGTGATGACTCATTTGTGACTGGACTTTATTTCCAAGAGAGTTGTCTGGGCACTACCTGTGCTGAGACCCATGAGACTAGACCACACAGAACCTCTGAGGGCAGAACTGAATCCTTTGAATGAAATAAAACAAAATTCTTCTTCAGAGTATTATGTTATGTTTTAAAGCCAAGAATGAAAATGCAGGTGATGACTTTACATGGGTTTTAGAGTTTCCATTATTTTAATATTTTTCTGCTGAGCAGCTGATAACATTTTTAACAGAGCCGGACCTCACATCCGGACAACACAGGGGAAAGAGGTAAGAAAGATAGTTTTTCAGTAAGGCTTTTTGTGCTCCTGTCATTCAGAGCTGCCATTTCTTGCTCTAGAACTCTGGTGGTGCAGCAGCAGCTCCATAACAGCACTGTCTCTTAGTTCTGGGGATAGCAGCCTTTCCCTGAGTGTAATGCCGCACGTTGGCCGGGTGGATCAAAGGTTGCTGGAGTCACACAGGCAAACCTATAAACTGTGGATTGCAGGTGCCACCCCCAAATCCCAGTGAGATCAGAGCAACCTGAGGTCACAGCTGAATCTAAGTTGAAAATTGGCTAATGTACTTTGACAATAACATTTGCAGATTTCCTTTTTTTAATAAAGCCAGTCATATTAACAATATAAGATCTCTGCAGTATGATTACAAGATATAAGATAGACATCTGAGTTTGCTCGTAAGGCAGTACGCTCTTTTTCCCTTTAAGGCTGAAGTGTTACCGCAGCTGACCTCAATATTAGCCATGAACTTGAGTCACTAATGTAGGAGTGTAACATGTTAAATGTCAAGTCACCAAGCAAGACAGAAAATCCAGTCTCAATTAAGAAGCGCACAGAAACAGACGTTCCTGCAAGTGATAAAGAACTGTGATTTACTTTCTTACCATTTTGAATCACCTTCAAGTTATATTCCTGCGGCAAATGACTGACTGGAGTTTATTTACTTTATGGGTTTTATTATAAACTATGTTAAGGTTATGTGCATTCAAAATCTGGTAGAAGTCTGCAATTCCCTGTCTCATGATATCAGAGTAATTATAACAGCTCCTGCCACAGAACAGGAAACACAGCAAAGCATGGCTGCAAATTTCACAATATTGCAGTCATTATCTGAGGTGACTGAGATGAGCTAGATTGCTACAAAAGGATGCTATAACACAGCAAACTAACATGCTTGAAGTGTTCAGCTATGTGCTACTGTAAAGCTAACTTATCGATAAACAGAGTTGGATTTACTAAAGTTTCCTAATTTAAGTATTTTAGTAATGTGAGAATACTAAATGTACTGTACTGTAAACATTTGCCAAATGTCAAAAGGCTTCTAAATTTTAGAGTTAGGAACACATTCTTTTAAGCCTATTTTTATTCCTAAGAAGAGAAAATCAAATGTTTCCCCACAGAAATACAGCATAGCATATGATTTATGTAAGTTAAAGGACAAGGTTAAAGTGTTAGACAAATATTAATTCCAGTTTTTCTAGTTTTCTATATGCAGTGCACAGGTGCAACTTGAAGAGCATATTATATGGTATAATCATTAAATCCATTCAACCAGACCTTTGAGAGTTAAAAACATATATTCTGAGGAAAAGGACTCCTCGGTCCAAGGAATGAGAATGAAACAGTGCAGAATATTTGTGTATCAAGGTGATTCCAGTTTCCAATTGGGAAAACAGGACTGTTAACACCCACATCCCCTGACAACTGTCCAATTATGTATATCACACTTGGCCTACTGTTTGCAGTAGAAGTAATCAATAAAGGATGTGGTTGAGTGAACATAGATTTTGGTTGAACCAATGCATGAAAACTTAATCATTTACTCAGAGTGGAGAAATCAAATAGAGCAGAGATGAAACAGCCACTAAGGGGTTTGTTGATTGTGCCACCAAGTTTGTGGGCTAGAGGCTGAAAGTAATAAAGCAAATGGAATCAGTGACAGGAGAAAATGTAAAAAGGTTTTCTTAATTTCATGAATTAATAGAAACGTTTTGATGTATTTTTTGGCCATTTTTTATATTTCACATAAAAACCTACGCTCCACATATAGAAAATATGAAAATTGCTAGGGCATATAACCTCTCTCAAGCAACCAAAATCAATTTGATACATATCAGAAAGGTATTTCTCACTGTTAGAACTTCACTTATGCCAACAAGCAATTGGTTGGTAGAGTTTAACAATTTTTCAAAGGAAGTACTTTTAAAAGCACTACAGCTTGAGATATTTAAAGTATGCTAGAAGTATTACTGAAACACTTTATCCTGTACAAGACCTGATAACATGATAAACAGGTCTTTCCTACTCAAAGGGCTATATTTTATAGTTCCTTCAAAAATCTACATGTTATTTTATACAGCCATATACTTTCTATCTCCTTAGACATCACCTTCCTAAATGCATAAAATGTAATTTCCTAAAGATATAGTCATTCATGATCCCATGGAACAGTTATGATGACTTCAGCAGAAGAGATTACATATCTACAGCAACTCATTTTCCAGTTTCATGCTAAAATGCCCTATGAGATTTTTACCCCATTAGACTTTTATGAAAATATGCACCTTTTATAGGATTGCTCATGTGATTGAATTGGATGTATAAATCATGTGTCCACAAGAAGTCATTACCATGGTGGACACTGGCAGAATAAGTCAAGAACATGATGCTATTATGTCAGATTTTCCCCTGGAAAATGACATGCCTAAATGCACATGATAGAGAATTTCAGTTTCCCATGGTCTATGGAAACACCTGCATCAAAGATTTCACAAAAATTTCCAAAGCCATAGACAAGTTTTGAGCGATTCAGGAGGGCTTAGCCACTTTCTCCAACCGGTCACAAGGCAATCAGTGCAAATTCTCACAGAAATTATTAATGCATTATTTTAAGGAAACAGTCATCTTTTCCTTTGTAAAGGCCTTATCCATCAAATGAAAAATGATTTGCAGAAGTCTAGCCTAGATCAGGTGAGAATACAAGCAGAGAAAAAGCGATCAAGGTGACTATGGCGATTCCATCACCAACAGTAATTACTCAAGCATTTATCCAATGTTTTCTGAACAGGCTTGCCAGAAATTTGCTTGTTTGGTATACATCCAACACGTAAATATCCACAAGTCTGGTGAGGGAGTAAACAGAAACTTACAATGTTTTTTTTAAATGTCTCTCTCTATATTTACTTTTCAAACCATTTTTCTGTGCCCTTTCCTCTTCCAAGGAAGAACTAGTAGAGCTGGACCATCATGATTTGTTCATGAAAAATTCTGTTACTGAATTTTGAAAAGTAGGTTTCTTTGAAATATCCATCATACTGGCTTACAGAAAGTGTTCTATTAGAAGATGGCAAAGGGGAATTTATCTAGAAGGACTGCTTAAGACAAAGATCCCGGAATCACAGTATAGTTAGGGTTGGAAGGGACCTCAAGAGAATCTCTGTCCGCCTTGCTCAGAGCAGCTAGAGGAGGCCTGTGTCCCATGGAGTTTTGTGTGACTTTTGAAAGATGGAGACCACAACCTGTTCCAGCATTTGACCTCACAGTAATTTTTTTTCTTCTTGTGTTAAAATGGGATCTCATGTATTTCAGTTTGCGCCTGTTGCCTCTTGTCCCGTCACTGAACACCACTGAGAAGTGCCTGGCTCCCTCTTCTTTACATCCTCCCATCAGACATTGGTACACATTGATGAAATCCTCACTCGGCCTTCCCTCTGCTCTCTGAACTGTCCCAGATCCCTCAGCCTCTCCTCCTAGGATAGATGCTCCCAGTCCCTCAGTCATCTCTGCAGCCCTTCACTGGACTCGCTCCACTGTACTGGGGAGCCCAGAGTGGGACACAGCACTCCTGAGGTGACCTCACCACTGCTGGGAGGAGGCAAAGGATCCTCCCTTGGATTGCCCACAATGCTCTGCCTAATGCAGCCCAGAATCCCGTTGGTCACCTCTGCCATGAGTGTGCATTGCTGCATCGTGGGCAACCTGTTGCCCACCAGGAAACGCAGGTCCTTCTCTGACAAGCTCCTTTCCATCCAGTCAGCCTGCAGCCTGGGCCACTCCCTGGAGTTGTCTGTCCCCAGGTGTAGGATGTTGTCTTTCCCTTTCCTGAGCTTCAGGAGTCTGCCATCATCCAACTTCTCCAGCCTGCTGAGGCCCTTCTGAATGGCAGTTCAGCCACCTACCTGGTATATTAACCATTCCTCCCTAATTTTGTATAGCCTGCAAACATGCTGAGAGTACTGTTGGTCACACCATCTGGGTCATTAATGAAGATGTTAATCAGTAATGGTGCCAGACTTGATCCCTGAGTACACCACTAGTGGCTGGTTTCCCACTGTGCTTCATGCTGCTGCTTACACCCCTTTGAAGGCTGGCAGCTCAGCTACTTTTCAGTCTACCTCACGTCTATTTATCTAAGCCATACTTCTTCAGCTTGTGTATGAAGATGTGATGGGAGATGGTGTCAGAAGCCTTGTTAAAACTGAGAGAAGCAACATGCACTGCCTTCCCTTCATCCACCAAGGCAATCATCTTACCATAGAAGGCCATCAGGTTGGTGAAGCATGATTTCCCTGTCTTAAGTTCAGTACCCTCTTGTCCTTAACATTTGAAAATTGCTTCTGGGATTATTTGTTCCACCACCTTCTCAAGGTTCAAGGGGAGGCTGACCAGCCTGAAGTTTCCCGAATCCTCTCCAAGACAGAAGTGATGTCTGCAACCTTTCAGTTCTATGATCCATAAGTGCCCAGACTTTTCTACATAAAAGTTTCTCAAATGGCTGAAAGGTGCTGAGAATCATCATGGTATTTTATAGGGCTGAGCAGTTTATGATTATCACGTACCTAAAGCTCTTCAAAGCAGGCACATATGTAAGGTGTTTAATTTGGTTTACACTTTCAGGGCATAACTACCAAAAGGGTTTTATAGAAAATACCACAGCAGCCCTTTTCTCAAGGAAGGGTTTACAGTTGTGTCTTTACCTGTGCAATAGATTAGCAGTTAAATCCCTGATCATAGACATGAGAGTTCCTTCTTCATTTCAATCAATCAGAATGTTCCTCTCCTAGAATACCTTGAATACTAAAACTGGGGAGTCTTATTGCTGTTAGCTTCCCCTCTCATTTCTCCTTACCTACTGGATTTCCTCTTTTTCAAACTGCAACAACTGGAAATCAGTGAGACTGTCCATTCCCAGATAGCTACAGAATATTCCCAGATGGTGTGAAGTACTGACTTGATGCATAAAGAAAACCTCTTTTAAGTTCTGCTTTAAGAAAAGAATTTGCACTGGAATGGCCTTGCACATGGAGAGTTTAGAAACCTGACTTCAGAAGGATCTTCAAATATGTACCTTCTGAGTAAATAAAAATTTGTGCTCTCATTCCAGAATGCCTAACTCACAGAGAGAGGAAATTAACATACATGTTTTTTTAGGAATGTCTTCTTGGCTATCTTATGCCACCCTCTACCCAGACCGGTACTTTGTGTGAATACAAGGAACCCATGAAAGCTACTGAGAGCTCAGACACCTTTGCACTCATTGCAAAGTCCTTCATTGTAACAGCTTGTGGTCAGCAACTAACTCTTTCTGTTAGGCTTAAGACAGTTTTGAAAATGGGCCCTCGTATTCTAAGTCTCTTCTGTGGCTTTTTGAACACTTTATCCTATGTGCTTATTTAGGATACTTGAATATGAATAGCCATGAATTATGTATCAGAGAGCTGGAGAGAACTGTGATTGTGGCTGGTCCCTGTATGCTCTAAAAGGCCAAGAGGCGAGGCATCTAACTCAAAAAGGAGAATTTGCTCCACACACTGAAATAAATCAGGTGACGTCCTCCTCCTTAAAAAAATTTGCCAGCCTCTATCATACATCATACGCTTTGAAGTCCCCAATGTAGGATGAATCAAGGATAAGCTGCAACCTTCACTTTAATCTCCTTTTCCTACTTCACATAATTGCATTATTCTACTTTATGTCAAAATTATTTGTGTGAGAAGTTAAAGTAGTTTCAAACTAATTCACTTGGAAGAAGATTTTAATGCCAGATGCTGAAATGAAAACACTGAAGAAAAGCATCTTATCTGCAACAAATTTATATCTAGTTACACATGCACACACCAGAAATTCCTTCACAGAAGTAAGTGCAATAAATGGAAGTTCATAGTTCAGAAAAGATTACACTGAGACACTGACTGCAGCTTGCTACATTCCTCAAGGTTTTACGACTTTTTCAACCTGGAAAATATGCTAGATTTCTATTTTCAAGTAAAGTCCCTCCCAAACTTGTGAAAAAAATAACCGAAAAAGCCACCAAAATGTGGGAAGAATGGGACATATTATAGTTTACAGGTAAAGAAAAGCTTGGATCACACACTTTAAAAAACGTGTTCAGTTTAAAATAACTTTTGATGAAAGGGTCACTTCCCGCAAGAAGGGCATTGCTTAAAATTTAAGCAGTCAGTAATGGGAAGCGACAGACCTCTAACAATTTAAGTCTTTCACAGTTGAATGAATCTGCACTGACAGCCAGACAAGGATGTGCTAACCTACCTTACCAGGATCTTGGCTAGAGCTGCATATGCTCTGCCTAGGCCAGCAGAATCACCAAGTGCTGTGAAGATTTTTACTGAGGTGTTCAAAATCTGTGAAACAGGAAAATAAAACCCAATAAATACAATGCTAGGAATTTCTAATTTTTCTTTTTTTTTTTAGTCACTGTCCATATGAAACAAAATTAAAGTTTCCCCACCTATACATTTCTTCTTTAATTTGCTGTCACAGGACTAGGTTTTTGATCATCACTTATAGTTGTCTGAAACTACTCAATAATCACAAGTTATACAACAACATGCATATAAATCCTTGTATTTTGGCCCTTTGCAAAAACCACAGAGGTATTACCTGATTCAAAAATATAAGTGTCCTTATTCATAATTTAAATTATTTTAAGAGGCTGTGCTTTTATGAATTTCTGTTAATCAATAGCTTGATGGTATCCTTTGCACCCCATAGTGTTTTAAAATGTTATGTTGATATACAACTTAATATTATTTATCTTTCATTAAACTGTTACTACAATGACTTTTCTTAGTACAAATCATATATTTTTATGACTAATTATTCCCACACACAAGCAATTTGTTAACATTAATTTGGAATGTACTCTATTATCATGACCCCTCCCATAACTGAAGGCTTACAGCTGCTGCATAAAAACATATGATCTTAATTTAAGACTGACATCACCTGTATTGCATAATTTCTCTTTTCATCCATTTTTTTTTTCCAATGGTGATGATGGGAGAGTGCATATAAAATTAAATCCTATTCTTTTCTCCTTCCTCTTTGTTGCTTGACCCAACCTATTACACACATGAGAAAACAGGAAATCTCCAAAGACTATCTATGGAAATCCTTTTTGCACATTTCCAAGAAAGGAGTAGTGAATGTCATTTACCAGCTCTGAAGGGGGATGGGAGATGGCCAGGGACACACGACAGTATACTCCATGCCCCAAGATGCCTATTTATATGAAGATAAAAGATAGGGCATTTTCTATGAAGACTGCAGCCCCTGTCATTGGCAAAGATCATGGTTCAAACGAAGACAGCCTGAGTGTGCTAATGCTGTAAGATGTCACCAGTTTTATTACTATTTCCAGTACTCAGATTTCCTAGTTCTTGAAAGAGTTTTACCACATGCAGGGCTATCTCTGGACAAGGCTCTTATTTTTCAGTTACATAAGCTCTGTGTGCACAAAAAGCAGCATTTATTAACGTGTGCTGCACTACTTATCATCCCTCAAGTACTTTCTAACAGGTTGTGTTCTCATGTACATCAGCATTGCATCCTATACTTGAAGGTCATTGTCAATTGAGTTATCAGTGCATAAGATATGACAAAAAGAGAGCAAAGGCCCCTCAGTTAGGAAGTTGTCACATCAGTTCAGAATTCGCCCTAAAATGAATGCTTACCCAAAGCTGTCGATGCCTGCAGTCTGTCCTAATAATCCAGGACGGTAACAGAAAGGCATACAACTGCCTAAGAAATGGTTCTTGGTTTTGCATTTAACTCAGAGGACCTAAAACACTGGTTGTAATAATAGTGTCCATATCAGAAAACCTACTAAAAGAATGCCAGGAGGTTTCCAAAACCTTATGTACTGGACTGAAATCACTCCCACTTTAAACCGGCCTCTGCAATATTCAGCTAGGACACAGGGCCTCAAGTGGTTACTGTCTAGCCCAGGAAGGTTACTTAGGCACCTACGGCTTAGCCTGCTGTACTTTTTTTTCTATCAAAGCCTAAAAAGTAGAGATTAAATAAAGGAAAAACCATAGCCAGAGTGGCTAAAGTAAAAAGTTGGTTCACTGCATCTCTGCAACAGCTACTAGAAAGAATTAAGTAAATAAAGCCACTCATTCACGCTGATAAAAAGGGCTTATTTTTGGTCCCAGGTTACTACAACTCTACACAAGCCAGGTGTTTCATTTTAAATAATGATGAAATAATAATAACAATTAAATCATCTACGTGAAAGGGAGGAAATCTTTATAAATCACAATAGAAAATATGGTCTTTTTGTCAGTATTTCAGATAACTCCTCCAGCTTCTGATAATATTCAGGGACACAGAAAGGAACACATTCTTGAGGGAAAGGAGCTGTGCAGTGCCTCTGTATGCTACAACTGCCCAGTATCCATTTATGTAGAGGAAGTGAAGAAGGGCTTCCTCACCTGTGGTGCACGCCTTACACCTTCAGCATTCAGGACAGAAAAAGAAGAGGATGCAGGATAAAATGCTGGATTAACATGTAAGCATTAGAGGGTTTTACCCAGAGTCCTTGCAATTACAGCACACTTCTAATTTTCATATACAAAAAAAAAATTATAAAGCTTACATGGTGGCAAATCACGTGGAATTGACACAGTGATGTCTGCCAGAATCTGTAAGCAGCCTGAAAACAAGTGAACATGAAAACTTTCCTGTTTATTTTCATGGGATATGAACAACCCATCCATCTAACTGGGTTTTTATGAATGCCACGTAATGAAGACAAGCACTTGGCAAGGAAGTGTTGAGTGGGCATGGCTGGGCCAGTCAACTATTAAATATCTGGAACAGATATCATTTGGATCTAATGGAATTTACAGGGTCCCATGAAAAGTCTTCTACCTGTAGACAGAACTATAACCAGAAACAGGTCTTTTATGTATCCTTTGGCCAATCTGTCCAGAGGATGGTGATGTCCAAGGAAGAAGTGAAACATGTCGGTAAGTAATGCTAAAAACTCCTACAAAAACACATGGTTGTGCTGCGTTTGTGGTCTTAGAGAATACAGCTGCCGTTACAGAAACAAAAAAGGATGGAAAAATTCTGTTAGACAACAAAAAAAAGTATTAATATTAAGGTAACATGCTTCTGCTTCAGTATTCTATAGTAAATATTGTGCATTAAAACGTCATCTTGGTAACATAACATTGCAGAAAGAAATATTGAATAGGACTACCTAATCTATACTAGTCACGTACATTAAAAAAGAGTATTATGTGAATCTGGCTGTATTTCCTTCTCAAAACTCAAGACAAAGTTTTCAGAGATTGAGTTACTGAACCAACAAAATGTATTGGTTGTGTGGTTTTTCGTGTGTGTGGTTTTTTAATTTGCTATACACAGAGTTCTGAGGGAGGAAGATGTTGCTATAGACTTACCTTGATCATGCTAGGCTCCATTATAAAATTTCAATACTGTTTCAAAGAAAGTTTGATACTCCTAGCAACTAGTGTAAAAAGACCACAGTATATGCAGTTGAACAGGTTAGAATAACGTACAGTTATTTCTACCTCTAAAAAGAAAATGTAAGGTAAGTTTAACAAAATAAAAATTACAAAACCTGCATTGACTCTGGTCCTGAACTGATTTTTGGTTCTATGTGACCAACCACACTGACTGTCTAAAACTTCCTAATTATGAGAGTCTGCAGTGGAAATACTGATTAAAAAACAAAATAAAATGAAAATCAAAGTCTAATACAGGAAGGAACTGTGAGTTTCAATCGGTTGTTCTCATTCGCGCAGGATGAGGGAAGGTGGCAGAGTGAAGATTTCAACATAGCCATCCACGTTACAGAGAACTCTCCCACATGCCATCCACTGTCATTTTGGTGTATGCAGAATAAAAGCAAAGAAGTTGTTTTTATGGCTCCAAGACAGGGGGGGGAAAAAAGAAAAACCACCATCAGGATGCATTGTACTATTTTCCTTGTTATCTTGCTTAGCAGTAAAACCTTGATGCAGACGCACCTGGAAGGAGGATAGCTATTGTGGGAGCATCTATTTACAAAATCAACTCTTCATGGGTCTCTAAGTCTGTTGTGGCTACAATTAGTTATAGTGTAAAAATAAAGTATCAAGCTCTGCTTTAATCCTCTAAGTAGAGCCTATGTGTGGTATAGCTCTTGCACGAATTCTCTAAATAGTGGTAAATTTCACGTTTGCCTCCTTTGCCAAGAAAAATATTAGTCAGATTTCAGGCCCAGATATGCTTTTCAGTTATCTCAGCATTATGCCAGTATGACCCTCCTGGGATTACTCCATTAGCATAAACCAGATACACCAGCTCCTCCCCCAGGGCTCTCCCTCCCCAAAATCCCACCCTTTATTTGTTATTGTGACACCCGTACTTCTATGCACACATAAAATCATGCACACACCTCACTGGCAGACACCGAGGACTTGGACAAAAGGACATAGGCTGTGCTAAACACTGATACATCTGGGGATAATGGACAAAAGAGCAAAAATCAAAGTATGAATTTATGTTGAATAAAGAATGTCTATCCAACTCAACACAAGATTAATGCTACTACCAGTATTTCATTATTTTGGCAAAATACATTACTCTGACAAAACCATGATGGGATAATATTGATTTATAACACTGTAACTTTAAAAAACACAAAAACATAGTTCTGCTCTCAGCTTTGCACTTGATACTGTTGTCAAACTTTATTGGAAATACATTTATTTTGATTTCTGAGAATCTAGCTGCGTTTAGCCATTTCACAGCTGGTGAGCAGTAAAGATGCTTCTGCCTCATTTACAGATCTTGAACATGAATCAGATAATCAACTGGAACATTAGTCAAAGAGATCACTAGCTAATGATTTCTGACAGGCGCTGCAGTACCAGGCTAAGGCCCAGCCTGGCTAGCAGCATCTGACCATATTTTTCTGCAGCCAACAATAGGTATTGGTAGACAGACAATGCAATTGAGTGAGACTACTGGCCTCATACCACTTCGTACCTCTTAAATACTTTCAGAAAAAACACATAGTTCTGACAGTCACTAAATAATCACTTCCATACAGCCCTGTGAAAATAGAAGACAACAGAACTGTATGCATAGGCATTTTGCAGCTCAGTGAACCCTCTCCCACAGCTCCCCAAAAATGTGTATTTAAAAACACTTTAAAAGTGCAATCTTTATTACCATAATTTGAGTGGGTACATGCCTGTGGCCATCCTGAGTAAGGTCAAAGAAGAGTTTCACAATACAAACCCAGACGTATTCTTATTTTGGGCAAAACACTGTGAGAGAGATTGGACAGCGATAAGAAAATGGTATTGTTCGTGTAATGTAT